CCAGGGGGAAAAGCTTCATCCTTTAGAGATCTTGGAGCCTCCAAAATAAGCAGGGCTCGGGCAGGGCAGGTTTTATACCTCTGCAGCGTCTGCTTTGATCCAGAAATAATAACCAGAGGCTGGTGTGTCAGATGATGGATAACTGGGAGCAGCGTGCTGGGGCTTGTCTGGAGAAGGGCGTTTTGTTGGGAATCTGGAAGGGGGTGTGTTTTCCCCCACAACTTCTCTTTTTCCTGGTTGTTTCACAAGGCAGCTGCTTCCAGCTGACGTGAACTCTGCAACTGTTTCTAATTCTGGAGAAGTGGGGGAAAAGCAAAACATGAAAACAAAGCAATTTTCCCTGCAAAAGAGTAAGGTTTTCCTTTCCAGGGCTCAGAGCGGGGTGCATCCTCCAAGATCGTCCTTGCACATATGGAAATGGAGGGAATTTAAATTTAAAATTGAATTTGGGATGGAAACTTCTCCCAAATGTCTCCCAGGATTGTCAAGACAGTGAGATCAGAAGAGCAGAATCCTTTTGCTGCTTTTCAGAGGGGACTATGCATCATTTTCTGTCTCCTTTTTAAGTTCAAAATCAGAAATATTTCTGGGATATTTTTTTATGAAGAGAAAATGTTATCTTATTAGAAAATAAATTCCACAGAGCAAAGAAAAATGACCATTTAAGTTAAAATATAGAAATAACACCCACTGCCATGGCATGGAACAAGCTGGGAATTTTTTCACAAATTCACAAAAAAAAAAATATCAGGGAGAAAAAAACAAACCACTTAAAGCATGGAGAAGGAGGGGTTGGCTGATCAATGATCTCAACTCATTAAGTCTTTAGAAAAAGAAAATTTGTGAAATGCCAAACAGGACTATTCCATCAGATTCCCAGATTGTGCTCTTTATTCCTCCATTTTTTTTCCCCTTTAAATCACGTTTCATCCAGTTTCCCTGAACAAAATCACAACCCTCCCCATCTTCTTGGGGCTTGTTGCTGTTTTTTCCCTCCCACTGTTGCCTTTCTGCCGTCAAGTCTCAGGAGCAGAGGCACAATCCCAGGAAAGATCCAGCTGAATCCTCCCACGTGATCCTCGGAGCTGCAGGAGCTGCCCCAAAGCCTCTGCCCCTTGCTGCTCTCCATCTGCTCTATTCCCTTTTTCCTCCTCTCCAACTCGCTCAGATTCCCATCTCCCATGGAATATTTTGGGCTTCCGACATGACCCACCTCACCGGGAAAACACACCGGGTTCCGAAGGTGATGTCAGTTTTTCCAACACTTCCAAACCGGACTTTATAAAAATTGTCCCTCTGGAGCGCTGCATGAGTAAGGTGAGGAAATTTTGGCTTTCCCAATAGGCAGAGCACGAAACTCAGTTGGAGCAGAGGTGGCAATTACCCAGAAAATCTCCGAGGAGGGGCAAGGCTTGGCTCCGTCGGCCTCCTCAAGGCAGCCGGCAGGAGGAAAACAAAGCTCCCTCCACGTCAGTGCAAAATATTGTGAAACGCTTTATTTTTCCAAAGCCAGAATAGACTTAATGAGTCTCTAGTGGTAAATCCATGTTTATTGGGGCCTATCCTGGGGGCTCCAATCCCAAGGAGATGCTGTTCCGTTCCAGAGCCAGCCCACGTTGGGATTTATCTCCAACAGCATCCCCTGACAGGTTCAGAAATAGCAGCTCAGACACTGCTTCTTTTTTGCCTTCCCTCAAAAATCTCATCCATGCCAAACCCAAAAATATCTCCTGCCTCCTGCAAGCTGCTGAGGTTTGGAGGAGGACAGAATGGAATTCTTAAAGGCTTTATTGCAGGATTCCTGACAGATTTTCCATGAGATGCTCCCGGAGTCTTCCAGCTGGTCCATATGGCCCTCCCTCTGATATTTTGTCCCCACCAGGGCCAGGTGACAGAATGAAAGGAGCCCATGAGGGCAGGAAGGACACAAAGGACACAAGAAGAACCAAGGCAAAGGAGAAGATAAAACCCCAGTTTACCAGAATTTGGGATTCCTGAAGTTCAGGATGGCTTTGTAAAGAGTAACAGGGGATTTAACTGGAGATAAAAGTGGAAGGTGAGGTGGAAAGGTGTCCCTTGACACAGTGGAGTGGAGAAGGAAAGGAGAATGCTTTGCTTATCTTGTTCTAAACCTGGTTGAAATCATCACATGAGAAGGGCAAACAATTGTTTATTTTGGGGGGAAAATGCAATTTTTATCAAACAAGTGCTGAAATGCAAAAGTAGCTGTGAAATTCAGATGTTGTTACTAAATGTGGAACTTAAAGTTGGCCGAAAGCATCGAGAAGCATCTCAGAAACGATTTTTATTAACATAAAGTGATGGGAAAAGTGATTTTAAAAAAGTGCAAAGCCCCAAGTTTCTGGGTAAACATTCCCCTCAGAAATTCTGCAACACTTTCACTTCAGTTATCCCATTGAAATGAATTCCAGAACTCCCTTCCTGACCAGAAATTAAATCTTTATAGGATGACTAAACCTAATCCCATCTTTACAACCTTCACCCAGCACTGCGGTTTCTCCCCTTTGCACGGAAACACGTGGAATTTGCAGTGCTGGTGGAGTAGGATTCCCCTCAAATCCAGCACAAGATTCTCCTCAAATCCAGTGCAGGATTGCCCTCAATTCCAGCACAGGATTCCTCTCAAATGCACCACAAGATTCCCCTCAAATCCAGCACCAGATTGCCCTCAAATAAAACAAGGCTGGAGATCTTTTTTCCAGATGCTACTATAAAGACCCTCCCAAAATTCAATGCTGCATTTTTCCATGCTCTCCAGATCCAAGACTATTTTATTTGCCTGTTTTAGCTGTAGTCCTGCTCCTCCAAGACCTGAAGGGGATCTCTATCCCATCCCCACCATCCCTAAGCCTGGAAATGCAGCAGGAACCCTGGGAAGGGATGGAGCAGAGACCTCCCCGATCATCTCAGAGACCTTCACCCCTCCCAGGCTCTTCCTGCCTGTTTCCCACAGGAAAATCAGGAGCAAGCAGCATCCCCAAGCAGGCACGAGGGTCTCCTTTCCATGAGGACAGATTCCAGCAGCCTTTTCCTTACCTTGGGCGTCTCCAGCATCTTGGGGTGGGACCTTTACCTGTTTTATAAGCTGGAACAACCCACCTTGCAGAGGTCCTGGGAGAAGTTCCCAGTGCAAATTCCTGCAAGACCAAATTTCTGGTCCTGTCTCAGCATTTACAAAACAATTCCTGCTGTTGTCTGTGATGGGAGCAACACAAACATCTCTGACCTTTCCAGACTGACACCATTCCTTATCTCAGAGGGATCTGGGACACCATCTGGCTCTGAGGAGTGTCTGGAGCTGCTGGATGGAAGAAAGCTAGGAAAGGCAGCCTGGAGAAGATTCCCAAGTGCTAAAAAGAGGAATTCAATGTGAAGCAGAGCTGATTTCTCAGGCTGGCCCTGGTGTGGATACAACAAACACACTCTAGAATAACACAAATCTTTATTTTGCCAGACAATTATCACACACGTGCTATCAAAAGAGCTTTTCCAGGGAAAAATTAGTATAAAACAACAGGGGGGGAAATAGGAGCTACGCTGCCGTGTCATGTTGGGATCTGAGGCAATGTCTTGGAATAAAACAGGGTCACCGTTGGAAACACTCGGCCGAGGTTCCTCACTTGGGGAACGCCTTGTGGCTCCTCGGGTGGTCACACCTCCTGCCACCCCTGATCACAATCCCACCCTGAGCACACAGATCAGGCTGCCCACCATTCCCAGCAGGATCACGGCGTAGTTGATCCGGATGCTGTTGGCGCCGCTGAAGTTGCACAGGGAGTAGCTGCAGCATTTGGAGGAAAAAGCGGCGATCCCGAAGTTCACGTTGGTCTCCGGGCACTCCGTGGAGCACTTCTTGGTGATGCGGTATCCCGTGTCCTTGCCTGGGTGGGGAAGGGGTAAGAAAGGAGAGCTGGGATTTAGGATTCTATTGGAAGAGCTGAGCAGAGAAGAGGGATTTGCAATTTTCTTAATTTTCCACACAGCAATAAAAGCTCTCAGAGGGTTTGACAGGGTGTGAATCCTGGGGTCAAATGTGGGACACTGGAAAATCCTTGATTGAAACCCACACCGGCCTTAATCTCCAATCTAGTTGCCCAGGTGGTGGCCAGTCAAAGACTGGCCTCAAGATCTGGGAGGTCTTTCCCATCCTAAATGATTCTGTGGTTCCTGTAGGACAGCAATTCCATGCATTCCCAGCTTTTAAAACCATGTTATTGGCACCCTCCATCCCAAAACATGTCAGATCAAACAGCAGAGGCTGCTCCTGAAATCTGGCTGCTCCAGCCAGCCCTTCCACAAGGTGGTGAGGCCCTGGCACAGGTTTTCCAGAGAAACTGTGGCTGCCCTATCCCTGGAAGTGTCAAAGGCCAGGTTGGAGCAGCCTGGGATAGTGGGAGGTGTCCCTGGAATGAGATGATCCTGAAGGTCCCTTCTAACTCAAAGCACCACACAGCACACAGCACATTGAGACACTTGAACCTGAAAATCCTCACTTCTTCCCAACAAAACCATCAATTCCCTAAAAAAAAAAGTTGCCCACCAAGGTCTGTAGAAGAAAAAAAAACCAATCCCAGCTCCTGGGACTCACCAAGTCCGGCTCTGCTGTAGGTGGTGACGCAGTATTTCTCATGGTCCTCACACTTGTAGGTTTTCATGCAGTTCCAGTTGGAATGTTCATTGTCACAGGTGTAGCAAAACAGGGAGGAAGCTGGAAAAAACCACCCACGACACGGATTAGTGATTCCCAGCAAATCCCTCCCGGGAAAAACAAAGCACCAAAAGCCCTGGGAGGTACAAGGGGAAAAATCTGCTGTGGACAGCTTTTCCCAGCAAGTGAAATAAGTTTGGGTTTGATTAATGCGGCTTAGAAAACAAACGTAGAGAGCAAGCCAAGTTTTCTTTCTGGAACTGAGATTTTAAGGGGTTAAATTAACATTTTTCAACCTGAGCAGCATTTTCAGGTGATTTTTTCCTTCTCCCCGTTAGCCTTGTTGAAAACCAACCTCCAAAAGCAAAGTCCTGGCAAGGAGAAGAGGAACCAGCCTAATTCCAGACATCAATTTTAAACATTTTCACCTTACATCTACAAAACCCTGTCCAGACATGAATTAATTAATGACTAATGACACTCCTGGGAGCCAAATTACTGAGGCACCACAGCAAAGGGAGTTCCCTGGGAGAGGCTGCTGCCCTGGACAATGGATGGATTATTCCTATCAACACCTGGAAAAGGTGTTCTCCATGATATTTCTTCAGCAGTGCTGAGCCAAGGTCTATCCCAGAGCCGGGAAAAAATTGGGATATTATTGGGCACAACTGAAGTAAATTGAGTCAAACTTCCAGTCCGGCCATTAGAACACAGATGTGCTTTTTTATTCTCCAGAGGTGAATTCAGAATTGGGTGAAATTGTTTCCCTCCTGCCCAAAATTCCAAGAAATGCTCCTCATTTTGGGGTGGGGGTGACAGAGGCAGCCGGGCTGCTCTCAGGAAATCCTGCTCCATTGCCACCAGCGGTGAAGAGCTCTTGGCTGAAGGTGAACAAAAATTACAAACCAATGAGGGGTCTCCACAAGGCTGAGATTTCCCTGGTTCTGCTTTCCATGACTTTCTCAGCCCAGGAAGTCTCCTTTTTTTCACAGAACACCCCTTCCGATCAAACTTGGACTTGTTTTCAGCCAGGAAATGCCTCCCAGTGACCCTTCGAAGTCTGCTCTTGATTCAAGCTCTCATCTGACCATGACATTTGGTTAAGCAACTCCAGAAACAGTTTCAAAAGAGAACCGAATTCCCTTTTCGTTTCTAACTACCCCAAGGAGAAAAAAAAATCCCCTCTGTGATCTGGGGAGCTCTGGGTGTCTCAGTACAGGACTGGCTTGCTGTGAAACCTTCCCAGATGCTTCAAGAGAAGTTGGACAGAGAGTTTGGAACAACCTGGGACAGTGGAAGGTGTCCCTTTCCATGGCAGGGGGTGGAACAGGATGATCTTTAAGGTCCTTTCCAATCCAAACCATTTAATCATTTGCTGATTCTCTGCTCTCTTCCAGTGCCAGGTGTTGCAAGCTCAGGGGTTCTCTGTAGCAGGAGGTAAAATCATGCTTTTTGCAAACTGGATTTAAGTTCTCCTTTTCATCCCTCACTATTTCCCCATCACTTGGGCGTTTTCAGCCTCCCAGGTCTCCTCTGGAGGTTTCCCAACCCGAGCTGGGGGCTCCTGTCCCTTTGCAGGCAAAGCAAAACCCAGACCTGGTGAGGATTATTGCACTTTACAGACCCTGGAGCTCTCCCTGGTCTGCTTCCCTGCCAAATTTCCCAAACCACTTCCTGCTGAAGATGGAGCCGAGAGCAGCCGAAAGCCCTGATGTTCTCTAAGTGATCCGAGGGAAAATCCCTTCCAGCCAGGAAACAATAACAGCTCGAGCCATTAGGGCTGCTCTAAAGCCTTTCCTGCGTCTGCCCTCCACCCTCCATTAGCTGGAGTTTTGCAGATGCAGCCAGAAACGGCTTTAAGGGTGCAAATTGTGCTCCTGGAGCTGGCAAATCCATGCCCAGAGCCAAGATTTCCCAACTGGATATTCCCCCACAATTAACCAGGTATGGCTGCACCTCCTTTTAAAGAGGACGAGAGCAGTGCCTTGTGCATCCCGTTCCAATCACACTCCCAGGCACTTAACAGCTCTTCCAATTTAGGAGCAAAGAGCTCTGAGGCTTTCAAATATCTGCCAGCAGCCTTGTTGCTTAATTGGAATTGTGGGGAATAAAGTGAAATGCTGGCAGGAGATGTGGTGGCGAGACCCGACCGTGCTTTTGTCCACAACAGCTCCTCGAGTTTCATTCAGGAGCAAAAAATCAAACCAAAGGCAAAAACTCTGAGCCCTGCTTGATTCCTGTCAGCATTTTTCAGGTCGTGTCCTCAGCTGTGAGTGGCTGGAGCTGGATATCTGAGGGTGTGAGAAACCAGAATTCGTCTCCTCTGGGTTACAGAGAACCCACCTAGGAGTGTGGACTCAACCACACCAAATACTTCTCGCCGTGGCTGACGCCAAAAATGCCCCACCAAGACCTCAGCAGCTGCAACAAAAGCTGCCAAACCCTCTTGTCCCTCATTTATTCTCCTTGTTTTTCCTCACCATCCTCTCCTCCGGCTCTCCCAGCCTGCTGAGCTCCTTACCTTGCTGGGCACACAGGACTGCAGCCAGCAGGGCCACCAGAAGAGCCTTCATGGTTGGTCCTCGTGCCCTCGGAGCCGGAGCAGTGTGGAAAGATGCATCCCAGGAAGGTTTTATACCGGCACTGCCTCGTCTCTGGCTTCCTTTGATTGCAATAATTTGAGGTTTGGGCAGTGCCAGAAGCCGAGATGTGATCAGCGCTGGGTGTGTTTGTGCGTAGGAACCTATTATGAGGCTGTAGATAGCGATGTTTTTTTACCTCTCAATCTTATCCAATCTTTTTTTTTTCCGAGGCCTGCTCCTGTCTGCATTGCTAATTTGGGGAGTAATTTAGCTGATCCAAACACGGGAGTCCCTTCTTGGGCTGAGCCACCAAACCTGGAGCGAGCCAGAGGCAGCTGGGTGACTTCTTGCTTGCTGTCACCCTGCATCCTTTCTCTCTGCCATAGAATGGGAACTTAATATCTCTGGGAAGTGGGAGAGGAGGCAAGGAAAGGTTTTTGGATTGTCCAGAGCCATTCAGAATTATCTCACTTGTGCAAGAGGCTTTAAGCAGGAAGCATTTCTTCAATCATGGAATCATAGAAAGGTTTGGGCTGAGAGGGACCTTTAAGATCCTCTTGTTCCACCCCTGATCCCACTTTTTCTGCCTGGAGATGTCACTCAGAGTCTCCAATAGTCCAGGCAGGGATGGGGTTTGATGCATTTTGGTTTGTTCTTTCCAGAGTTTCCAGGTGACAATGTTTGTTGCTCCCTGGAGACCGACTCTGGGCGCTGACAGGTTTTTCCAGTCCCCCACGACCTTTCCAGTCTTTCTGGGCTCCCTCCTTCTGCTCCCACAACACCTCTTGAATCAGGGTGCAGAAGAGCCAAATGACTCAGAGTGCAGGAGAGGCACAAAGTGCACACAGACACCTGCAGGAGTTAAAAATCTACAAATGGGAGCGAAAATGACTGAGAAATAAAAGAAATCCTGGTCAAAATGTCTTGGCAGGACCCTTTGGAGAGAAAAATGACCAAGGGGAGCTCAGGGTTAAGGTTTGTAAGGTCACAGATGCTGCGGAAACAGAAGGAAGAACATCTAGGTGCTCTTTGTTTTCCCCAAATTAATCAATGAATCATGGGATACCTTGAATTGGGAGGGACCCAAAAAGATCAGCGAGGCCAACTCCTGCCCTGCTCAGGACAACCAAAAAAAATCCCACTGAGGGCTTTTTCCAAGCTCTTCTGGAGCTCTGACAGTCTTGCAACTGTGATCAATTCCCTGAGGAATCTGGGAAGTCTCTTCCTCTGCCCACATGCCCGCCAAATCCTGGGAAGCTGGACCCATTCCCAACCCCTGTCATGAGTTTTTTGCTTCCAAACATTTTTTCCTTTGCCCAATTCCTCCTTTTTTTGCAGCAACAGCTTCAACCCTCAGTGATCCTGTCTCGGTGTCCAGCAGGTAGAGGGGATGAGCCCCCAGTTTTCCAAGTTTTCTATTCTGTTCTCTGGTCTGACCTTGAGCAAGAATTTTGAACTATTTCATCCTTTAGGCAGGATGTGAAAGGCCCACGTGACAGATAATGCAGCAACAATATTTCAGAAATAATCTGGGGGGGAAAAAAACATTCTCTCTGAGCAAGATTCCTTATAAATACAGGCATGAAAAACACCAGGCAGGAAACGGGATCTGCTGGAGCAGGGAGGGAAAAAAGCAGGTATTAATCCACATGCTTGTTTAATGTATAAAACCAGGGTTGTCTCAGGCAGCTGGAAAAATGGAAAATGAGACTTCCTTCCCTTCCATCCCATCAAAAAAATCCCCAAATGAAAATGAATTATCACCCCAAATCCAGCTCATCTCGGAGCCAATCGAGCAGAAAAATGCATCTCCTCAGCGGGAAGAGGGAAAAAGGCTTGAACACAGCCCACGAGAAGAAAGAAGAAAAGCTTTGGAATTAAAACAAATAAATGAGCAGTAAATAAATGAGGCTGTTAAAGCAAAGTGCAGCTGAATAGAAAAAAATGCCAAGTGAGAAATGTGCTGTGGGAAGTGGGAATGTGAGAAAGCTTTTAAATAGATTAGAGAGAGGGGAGGTTAATAATAATAATAATAATAAACAAGATTAATATTTCAGACAGAAGCGGAAAGAGAGAAGGAGGGAGCGGAGAAATATTGGTGCAAAGCAAAGTAATTCAAGGCAAACACACAAAGCTTGGGGGGAAATAATTAAGGACAGGGAGAGTGAGGTAAAGGAATAAGATGGGATGGGAGGGAAGTCCTTCCTGTGTGTAAAATGTGTATTTTCTTATGTGCAGACCCTGTTCAGGTGCTAAAATCAGCTCTTCAGGGGGCTGGGAAGCTGCAGGATTCCCCAAATCCCAGTTTAACCAACCGCTGGGGGCTCCTGTGCGACCTGGGTGGACCTGACCCCTATCCCTGTGCCCCTGGAGGAGGCTGCCAAGGCTTTGGGAGGCATCCCAGGCTCTGGCCAGGTCCCAAATCCCTGCTATTCTTGGTCCCTGTTGGCATTGCAGTCACGCCCAGGGCCACTGCAAGGGCTCTGGGCTCCAACCAGCAGCCCAGCACCGGAGGGAACGGTGCCTTTGGAAGCAGAACCCATTGATTTCCAAGCGAGGGATGAAGAGAGCTGGAAGAAAATCAAGGGCAAAGAGAACTGAGGGAGTGGGAGTGCAGATGGAGAACGCAGCGGGGAGGTGTTAAAACCATCTCCCAGGGACAGGAGGAAAGCAGGGTGATGGGAGGGCAGCAGGGTGAGCCTTGCAGCAGAAACTGGGCCAGGTGGGTGTCACCCAGTGGGTGTCACCAAGGGGATTCAACAGTTAACAGGGCCTGGAAGTTTTAGGAAAAAGAAACCTTCAACAACCTGGGGCTTGGCAGCCACAGAGGGTGTTTGTGCCAGACTTTGGGAATGCCTTTTGCAAGGCCAGGCCTTTTTGTGTAACTGGAGTCAAAGCGTGGTTTCAACCCGGGATGGAGGGGTGGGATGGAGCCAAATCCAGGGATGTTTTAATGTCAACGTTTCCCACTTTCTCCCCTTTTTTCTCTCTGGAGGGTGGCTCCAACCTCATCTCCCCTCAATGGTGAAGGGAGGAATCTCTCTTTCAGCTCAGGCTTGTGAAGTGCAGCCCCAAGAGGGAAAGGAGAGGCCATGGATAAGGTGGGAAGGACATGGATGGTGCTCCCCGCGTCCCTGAGTCACGCAGATGGTGCAAGAGGTCCAACCTGATTCCAGACAACATCAGGCTGATCTGGTTTTGTCCTCTTCTCCTTCCTTGAAGGGTCAGGGAAGGCTGGGATGCTTCATCTGGACCTGCAATGGCAACAGGGTCTGGTGAAGAAGCACAAGTGTGAAGATTGTGGGATTCAGAAACACGTGGAAAAAAGGAAAAGCCGAGTGTGGCATTTTGCCTTAGGCCTGTTGCAGGCAGCCCACTCTATCCCTCCCTTTCCCAAAGCACATCTGGCACAGCTGTTCTGGCAAGCTCCAAACAACAGGACACAGCTCCTCAGGTCATTCCCATGGCAGATGACAGAGGCTGCCAAACTCACAGCTGGGAAGGACAGGAGTAGCCCAAATCCACCGTGTGTGGATGAAATACCAGGTGATCAAGGTTGGCTTCAAGGCCAGGTTGGAGGGAGCTTGGAGCACCATGAGGTAGGAGGAGACATCCCTGCCCACAGCAGGGGTTGGAATGAGATGATCTTGAAGATCCCTTCCAAACCAAACCATGCCATGATTCTGTGATGTCCAACTCAGCAGCTGTGATGTTCACCAGGAGCTTTCTTGTTGATCTCAAGAGCTGAGGAACTCGAGTCCTTTGGGCCTGCAGCCAACAGGGAACCCAAGCCACTTCGTCACATTCCCTCAGCCTCCAAGATCCTAAGGGATATTTCAGCCCCATCAGCTTGGAGCGACATCAAACAG